TTCAACACCAATTAACACGAAACTATTACCACGAATAACAACAGATACCGCTACAACACTGCCTTGCAGCAACAGCATTAGCACCACATCAGAATCACACCAAAGGAACAACAAAAAAATACCACGACAGCAGTGACATCAACAACGACGGGCAAGCACACAAGACAGTGACAATAACGACAAAAGATCAAGGGTCCGCGGCTTTCACCTGGACGTATCCAACGTCTGGCACGAAGGTCGACGTGCACCGCAGCACGTTCCGAAGCGGAGAAACATCCGTCATTCCTAACGTCCGTTGCAAGTCCTGTCCAATGGTTGTTCAGGACATCCACGAGACATTTGCGACAATAGCAAGCCGCAGAGACCGGTAGGAAACAAACTCCCGTTAAACAGCGCTAACAACGAAGTGAACAGCGAGAAACCGGCAACCAAAATACACAGTGAACAACAGGCTTGAATCGACTCAAAATAAGCCCGGTACTGTATCCAGTCGGGTTTTCTCCCACCCACTGCAAAGACCTCAACACATCCCTTTCGACTGTGGCATTTTCTCGAACGGGTGGTTTTCTGTGAGTTCATGTATATTTTCAGAAGCACACAACCCACCAAAAGTACGAGCTGCTGGTTCCCGCCAATGCTTTGGTCTCGCAGCCCTCCCCCCCCCCAAAAAAAAAGGGTGGTCGCAAGCCCATCTAACAGGTGGGCAGAGTGTCGTGTGTCGCCAGTAGAACCTCACCCTTAGCGCCAAAGTCCAAGGTGTTTGGAGTACGGAAGAGCCTCGTATCGACTGTTTAAAACGCGTGACGTGGACATGTCTCTACTCTCCTATCGCAGGCTGCGGAGATCGGAGCCATGCTCGCCGTACCGCAATGTTGTGGCACCTTGTGGCACCTTGTGGAACCTTGTGGCACCTTGTGGATACCGAAGCCATGCCGAGCATAAGCCGTGGTACATCAGCACTACTACGCCTTGGCAAAAACTCGCACACGCGGCAGACACGAAAAATAAACTATAATTCGAAGTAGCTCGCATATAATGAGGTCTACCTTTTCGATGTCGACGAAGCAGCTCTGCTTCGGACCTCGAACACCCGTCATGTCGTTCGCGTCCATCGCATCGGCGCTCATGAGGAGGGCCGAGTACAGCCCTGGAACTCGTTCGATCAGCGCCTCTCTGTCAAGCAGCGACGGTGAAACAAGATGCGATTCGATAAAAAAAATTATGACCGATGGATAGGACGAAGACAAGAGGGGCATGGTACTCACTTGGTTTGGCGGCATCAAAAGCAGACAGGGAAACAACACAAGTGTATAATGTCAGAACCGACAGAGCCAGGAGTGGGATACATGGGACGAACCTCTACGCCAAAGGCAACACCAAGATTTTTCGTCGGGACACGCCTTCCAACCCTTCAAACAAGCCTCCATGTGACTGTTCATCACCACCTCTAACAAAGAAAAGAGTATTGTACTCCAACAGCGGTGCAACGACGAAGCAAGCGCCAGCTTACATAATTCCTGTAAAATCGACATCGTAATAGTCGCATTCAGCACGGTCGAGAAAGCTGGCTTGTGCCCAGCCATATTTCGCAAAAACAGACCATGGAAGTAAGTCAATGGGTAACTTCGCGCGCCCCAGCTTGTTCCGGCAACCGAGTCCCCGACAACATGAGCCCAAAAATTACCAAAACAAACGCAAAAGCTACTATTTAACTGTGCTTCGTACCCCACCACAGCCGAATGCTGTATACACATGTGGAGCACCAACGGATGGTGATACATACTCCTCTCCCTGCCCAACGGCAGCACCCCGACTCCGGGGGGGACGTAGGGAAGCACGAACCTACCCTTCGTTCTCTTTGCCATTCTTCTGATCCCCCTCGCTGTTGACGACGGCACCAGCAGCATCATCACCGGGCGGCGTATCTTCCTCCTCCTTCCCAGAGTTCTTGCCGAAAAACCTTGTCGGAACAACGTGACGAGGACGACCAAAAGCACGACGAATCAATAATGCCTCCTCTTATTTCTCGAGGCGTTCTGGCCGAAGGATGGCTTCGACAATACAGATCAAGGTTAGTTTCCATTTCCCTGAGGGATTGCCATTTTGTAGCGCTTCGGTTGCGAGCACGTGTGACACACACAGCGGGCGGTAGTGGAGACTCCCAAGCCCAGTTGCACGACGCATGGGTCAGCGAAGGACGTCCATGCCGTACACACACAACGATGAGAACACACTTGCAGACTTCCCACACATCCCACACACCCCACACATCCCCTTCGATTGTGGTTATACAATATCTCGAACGGGTACGGCAGGCTTTCTGTGATTGTACATACATTTCCTTACAAAGAAGAGCCGCATCGACGTGCAAAACGCCAAAATGGTGTATAGATGTATTCCACGCACTCTTTTCCCGGAATCTTGTAATGGCACTTTTCTTCTCTCATGTACGTAATTCACTCACGATTCTGAGGGCTCCGCAGACGGGGAAGGATTGTCGGCCGGGAGGGTGCTCACCGGCGTGCTGGCGCGCGAGTATCGGAGACCACCGAACAGCCGGCCTGACAAACACGGCGGTCGCGTGGTTGGGGGGTGCGACGGATTGGATTGGAGGCGGGGGGGGGTCAGCTCGTGACCGGTGTCATATCGACACGTTCCCAGGCTCGATATCGCTACTCTTGAGTCCCTTCGCCACCGGTTTAATTCCAGGAATAGGCTGCTGCGTTGTATATAAGTATGTACCAATCGTTTTTGGTACAGTCGTCAAGCCAGAGAGACCGAAAACAACATCAACTACTTGAGCGTTGCCTTTACTTTCACTCGTCCCTGAAGCCAGAGCCCTGCTGCTTTGGCGAACAAAGATAAAAAAACCTACTGTAGTCATCCATCGCGACCCTATGGCATGCGCGTGTAAGCGTTGACAGGACAAAGGAACGATGTTTTCTTGTACTCATGTCGTGGTGGGAAGGTCAGCTACTGCTGTACGCCTCGATCAGTACCGCTGTACGCCTAGGGCACTTACAGTACTATAGTCGACACTGCCTGCGAGACCCTTGCTCAAGGCTGAAGACTTCACGTGCTACAAAAAAGACAGCTAGGTATCTACATAGCTGCGGCTACTTGTTTGGTCCACGCCCTCGGTAAGCAACACCGACGCCAGCAAGCACAACAACAACACCGATAAGCACCACTACCACCAAATCATCTCGGGAAGGACCACGTACAATAGCTTACTTTTGCTGCTCATCCTCGACATCGCCGATGTTTGCGCTTCCGAAGCGCCGTTGGTCAAGTTCGGCCCCGACTCCTGGGATCCCAAGGACGATGCCCTGTGGTGCAATACCAAAGTCCGTGTGTGTGTGTGTGTGTGTGGGGGGGGGGGGGGCTCAATCATGGCTGCCCTTAGCGTTGACACGAACTCGCAGGGAGGGCATTACTCACGACAAGAGAGGGCATCGCTAACTCATGTCGCAATAAGAGTTGATCAGTCGCTCAAGTAATACTTGAGCAATTCATGTGTTCTACAAAATAGAACAAGGGTGTGAGTATGTGACGGTGAATAGATCTCTGGGGGTTTGCATGCTGGCTTCGGTGGTTTAGCTCGGAGGTGCCCTCCCCCACTACATGACATGCTCCACAGGCAAGTCGCCAACCTCCACCCACGGTGAACGTCGTGCGGTGCGGATAAAACGCCACGCTGAGCATAACCCACAAGCCAACCAAGGGGGTGGACCGCCTTCGCGAGAAATGAAGCTAATGAGGAACTACAACAGTGAGGGGGTACGCAGACCCTATCCCTATCCCCAACCCTAACCCAACTTCCCCAGATTGCATGCTTCATCCAACATGTTTACTTGAACGAAAAAGACCGTGCCAAGGCTACCGACCGGGGGTACATCTCAGTCACACACCGATCGCCAAGAGCAAACTACGGTATCGCATGATAGAATACATCATCCCCGCCCTTCACCTCGTTGCACCCGGGGACGAATCGCCACCAGTTCGCGGAGACCCTGTCCCCGATGTTCTCCTGGGGAGGGGACAGAGGGGGTGGACATGGCGACCGGCCGGGCAGGGATGGATCGAACGTCAAGTCAATTTGGTAGGTTTGTCGGTGATGGGGGTAATATGAACAACAGCAGCGGCGATGATGGGTTTACTTTGAAAAACTCAACATAAAACCACGGCACTCCCTCCGCCTGCCGTGCTGTTACATATGAAGGCACCAGAGCGTGACACTGCTGTAGACCGAGGTATCGGGAAAATCAGCGGGTACGGGACGGATGGGACACGAGTAGTCCGGCTATCCGCTCTCGCTCAAGCGGACGTGGTGAGCCGATCGTGATCAACCGAACGCGCACACCACAAACCTGGAGCGAGTAACATCGGCTCGATGAAGGGTCCACAAAAAGGAATCCGTGCTCGGGGTATCGTCTTCCATATGCTCAACTGCAACACCAAAAATTCTACACTTTTTCAGAATCTCCCCGCATTCCACCCGGTCTACCCAGCAGGTTTAAGCGCACCCACTTGTTACCGTGCGGAAGTTGCGTCTGCGATGCCCTCGTCACCATGGGTGAATCGTGCCGCGCACACCGTGTCCTAGCACGGCAGCTTGCCAAACAATCGGCACCACATAGTCGACCGATACACAGATAATACTCGTCCGTACCATAAATGGGGGCCAAAGAGTCGCTCGCCCGCGACACTCGCGGACAGTGATTATTCTTAACGAAAGATGGGAGGAGCCCCGTAACCCCATTGGCAAAAGCAAACGGCCTCGTACAAGCCCACGATCCTCCCCCCCTACACGTACATGTACGGTGTCGAACAAACAACCCCCCGACAACCAATAGGATCAAGAGGCAGAAGCAGCAGCAACCACAACAACAGCAGCAGCGGTGGGGTGCCCAGTCCCAGCCGCCATCAGTGGTGTCGTAGTGGTTTGGTTGGGTCAGCAGCATCAACATAAAAAAAGGTCACCTGAACAGCCCGCTCGCCCACCCCACGACACCGCTCGTCGCCGCCGCTGGAGGCGGCTGTTGCTGCTGAGGACCCTCCCCCTCCTCCTCTTCCGCGTCCGCGAGCCCAGCCGCCATCGCCGCCGCCTTCGCCGCCGCCTCCACGGCCTCGGCCGCTTCCTCGTCCACCATCCCGATCTCCTGCTGGGCGGCGCCCTGCCACCCCCCCAGCGGGCGGATGCCGGCGGCGGCCTCTGCGTCGAAGGCGGCGCTAGCGGCTTCGGCTGCCGCCTTAGCCTTGGCCGCCATCTCGGCGGCTTCGACCGCTTCCTCCGCGGCTTTGGACGCCGCCGTGCTCACCGCCGTGGTTTGTTCGTCTGCAGTGGGTGGCCTACTAGCGATGACGGGCTCCAGCTGCAGCCGCGGAGACGTCGTGGACGGCGCCCCCCCCTTGCCGTGGCCCGAGTCTTCCCACAGCAGCACGCTCTCCCCGCCGACGCTCGCGCATCCCCCCGCGTCGGTCACGCTGCTGCTGCCGCCGCCGCCGCCGCCGCCGCCGCCGCCGCTGCCCTCGTCGCTTAGCCTTCCGCCATCGCCGGCCACGCACCCCGCCGAGGAGTCGCTGTTGCCTCTGCTGCGACTGGTCATGTTGTTGGCATCGCTCTCGTCGTCGCTGCTCAAGAGCAACCCTTGCCGTCCGCCGACCCCGGCCGGCTTAAGCTGCTGCTGCTGCTGCTGCGAATCTCCCTCTTTCCCGCTGTCCGCGCCTGGCCCCGCTGGTGCTGTTTGTGCTTCGCCGCCACCGTTGTCACCGTCCCGTCCAGCCGGCGTACCGGTTAGTTTCACCGGACTTGCTATAGAAACCGTACCGTTCATCGCCCGGTGCTAACGTTGCCACGAAGCACGTAGTGGTTTTCATTGTGCGACAGCAGCAGGTATTCAGTCCGCGGCGCGCGTGCGACCGGAAGCACCCGACGAGCACAGCAGCAGGTGGGAAACAATAGGGGAAGCGTCAAATACACACAAAAGCTAGGAGAAATGCCAAAACCGTGCTTGAAGCTCTCGAAACAGAGTCGCAGCCAACGATCAACAAAAAATATTCGAGCTACAAGCGCACATACAGCATACATACAAAAGCTCGGAGACATTCAAGCCCGTGCTCAAGTTCCTGAAGAGAGACGGCCAACAATCGTGCGTAGAATAAACTATATTGGGGTCGGACGAGGGGGGGGTGGGGCAGCAGAGTGGGAAGCGGGTACCTGCGTGTGCCGGTTTGCGCGCCCAGGTCCCTACCATTGCTTGAGAAATCCGATATCGGAAAACTCAAAAAGGGTTGTCGGAGGTCGACACTTGCTATTCGGGCCGTTTTATACAAAGCGAGTTTGTTTCTCGTTCCAAAATTTTCGGTGCAAGTAGTTTCCAAATTTCCAAATATTCAAATATTTCTCTCCGCCGCAAGTCGAGGTTTCAACGGTCTACGGATTCGGAAAAATTGGAAGCTAAATAGTTGCTGAATAAAAACGGCCCTTAGAGTGCGACGGAACGTCTCAAATAATCTGTTGCCATTGACGACTAACGGCCGGCGTCGAAGCACGAGACAGCAGTCAGTCCCTGCGGAAGGAAGCAAGTATTTCGACTCACCAGACGATCGTACTGTTCCTCTGGGCTCTCCGCACGCTCGCGTATGACAACGCCCAGCACCCCCCTCGAGGACGGCTCGACGGTGTCCATGCCCACCATGATGAGCCACATGAGCCCTTTTGAGCGAGCAAAGCACAACAAGGAGTAGAGGGAGATGGAGGTTGTGTCTTTTTCACAAAGTCACGTGCGCAGAAGACAAGCAAGCGGCATTTGAATGGTTCTTCATTTTCATAAATATTCATCACGGAGAGAGAAAGAGAGGGAGAGAGGGCAAGAGAGAGAGAGAGAGACGGGCATGTCGGGGAATGAATTGTGAGGACGACCATGGTAGTGAGGGGCTCGGAGGGTGCGGTTTGAGAGAGCGTGGGTAAAAACAATCGTGGTACAAGAGAGGTGGGTAGTCTTGGAAGTCCCTGGAAGACACCCACCCACCTCCCTCGCGGTGAAAGGCAACACCATTTTTTCATTACGAGAAGTTGGTCATTCTTGCTACGAACGACCCTCCCCCCCCCAACAATCAGTCTTGCAAACTTACATCTATCGAACCATGCAGGATACAGCAGTTAGGTGTGTTATATTTTCCTATCGCCTGGCGCAACACCAAAGGTAGGCCACGCATTCCAAATAACCTCACCCTCCAAATACGAGATATTTCCGGATGAACGGTGATCGGTGTAATCCCTGTTGCGGAACGACCCACTGCCTTAAAAATTGTTCTTGATACGGGTACGATATTGTTCCGTGCAACCTACGGTATGCTTCCCCCTACAAACCTGTGATTGGATGCGCTGGTCCCGACGACGAAAAACGTTCATGTTGGGAGTAGCAATGTGGAAAAGCTGCTGGCTGCTACTGCTACTGCTGCTGTATTGGGTACTTGGTGCAGACTCTTGCTCGTCGACTCTGACCTCTGGTGGCATCCGTGACCCCTCCCGACTCCACGCAGCGGACGATGACGTCGAGGTCGTACGTGGACCGCTTGAGACGCCGGCATACACCGCTGAGCCTGGGGCGCGCGGGGGTGGGGGACAACAGCACAACAGCAGTACCGGTCAATACTGCGCATGGCCCCCTTGACGTGATGGGGTAATGAGGCGTCGTGTTGTTGTCGAGCAACTTTGGTGGTTATTCCGCATGCGCGTAAAACAATTCCGGTACTGGACTGCTATCCCTGGGGAGGAATCCATGAAATTGGCTTGGTGGTTTGTGTGCGGTTTTCTGATGGCCTTTGTTGCACCGACAACTTTCGTGTGCTCGTGGACCCCCGCCACTATCTCTTGGTCACCTTCGATCAAGCTGTGCACTGTGAGGCCCTATACTACTTGTCCATCCAACGTTGCAACTATCTCCACACCTCGACACTTTTAAAGTCTGCCGGCACAGGCTGATACAACCTCCACTGCGATCTTTTCCTATCACAAGAGCATCTCCATCCACAGATACACTGGGAAGAGTCCAGGATAAAGCAGAGATGGATTCACAGTCATGGTCAGAGTTCAAGTGTTGTTTAGCCAGCACGCGGCGAAACGACTACAAAGTGGTATTTTTATAGTCCTTACCGGCCTTTGTTGACACCGGCTGAGGAAATAAATGGTTCGGTAACGGGGTAATGGGCGCCTGGTGCCTGGGGTGTTACACAGCTACACAGCAGTCCTAAAAATGCGATGTTAACTGTGTAGATACCCCGGAACACTGCAAACTTCATTGCTGTGACTCTGCAAGACCGCACACTTCAGGAAGGAGGTCAACATAGGGTAAGGGTAAAGGGTTACGGGGGGCGGCAAGTAGACTGGTACACAACTTGTATAGAAAAGCAGCGGAAAAGTGCAGCAGCAGCAGTATCTGCCTCGCCGCCCAATTCAAAAGCACAAACGGAATTGTTTTGAACACTTCGCACACATTCGTTGTATGTTTACGAACGGGCGAAACGCATGCTCACGTGCCAAAGTCTTCAATGTTGAGAAACGGCAGGAACGTGTCGCGCAGGAAGCGGTCGTCCTTGAGAAGAAGCCTCCGCATCTGCGCGTACGCCACCCCTCCGTTTCCGGGCTCCCTTGAGCTGCTGCTGCTGCTGAAGCTGCTGCTCTGACGGCTGTGGCTCCTGCTTCGGACAGGTCGAACGCTCCGACCGCTGATGTTGGTTGCCGCTCTAAGCTTCTCCTGTGCTTCCTCCAGCGCGAGGCGCAAGAGGGCGTTCTCGGCTTGCAGCAGCTCTATCTCGGATCCCTTGTTGCTGCTGTTCACCGGCGCAACGACGCTGCTGGCGACACTGCTCGGGCTGCTGCTGCTGGTGCTGTTCTCCAACAAGTCCTCCTCTTGAACGAAAATCTCACTGCTGTTAGAAGCAGAAGTCGGAGTTGGTTTGTTCTCGTCTTGAGCTGCGGGCAAGGCGCCCTTGCTTGGAAGAGGTGCGTTTCCAGCGATTTCGTCGGAGTTTCCATGATAGTCCTCCATCTTCTATGATACACTACACTGGCAGCAGCAGCAGCGGCAGCGGCAGCAGCAAGAGAGCGGTGAGCGTGCGTGGTTGTTCTGTCTTTTCCCACGAGCAGAGCAAGCACAAGAGGCCCCTCGGATGTACTCTGGTGGGTAACACGGTGACTGTATGCAAACCACGGAGCTCTCGGTGAACGAACCAGCTCTCATCTCTGTCTTGGCGCTGTCCTGTACCATCTCTGTGTCATTCACCCACGCAGCGGACGATGGCCCCTTCCCGAAGAGCACGGCCCACGGGACCAATGCGTCTCCTGGTGTTGCTTGCAGCCGTGGCGGCGGGCATTGTGTTGCAGCCTTCGGGCGTTGCCGCTGCGGACGAAAGCGTTCAGCAGCAGGCATTTCGTTGCGAGAGCGAGGAAGATTTGGACGGCTCGGCTTGCAGGGTCGACATGCTGCCAGACTCAGCGCTGGCGGAGATGGTTTACGAGAGGTAGGCAAGAGACGAGGGACTCGATGGTGCGTTGAGCCATTCCTGTCTGTGCGTTGAAGGCAACGAAAGACAATGGTGGGGGGGGCAGGTACATAATACTGTATGTAGACATGTTTCGTCGCTCCGATGCGACCCTGCCAAAGGTTGCTGCTGCAGCTACAGCAGTAGCTAGCGGTTGTCGCGTTGCCGCGATGCAACCGGGCTTCCTGGGACTAGGCCGTGGGGGAAGTGTGTTCGGAAAAGCTTGAACTGGGTTCGGAAAGCTTGGTTTTGGGGGAGATGAACGGCGGTGGACCGTTGGTTGTCCAGCGCAGAAAGTGCTCCCCTGGTGTTGCACCTCATGTTGAACTCGACGGCTGTCCTTCGCGTGCCACGTGCCAGCTCCCGCACATCTCCACGCCCGCGGTTGCCGCTGCGCGTGGTGACGCTTCCTTCCTATCTATCTATTCACTGACGCGATAAATCTGGGGTGCATGGTGGCGACCTGCTAAGTTATAACGTTACCTGTCACATGGTCAGGATCGCACGTCCCAAAACATACTGATTGCAATGTAAGTGGCAGATCATAATGGGTCCGCGACCCCCCCCGTAAGCGCACTACAGCAGTAGTCCCGCCAAAAATCTACTGCTTTAACCACGCGAAGATGGAGGTTTGTATCATGAACAGCAGCATCGGCAGGAAAAGACTCAACTTTTCCACTACTATGCAAGGAGGAACAAGACAAACGCCAGCAATATTTTTCTTGTCAAGTGTACCGAACACCTCCTCCTCTCTGCTGTGCCCCCCTAACATCCGCGCACGTAACAGGGGTTTCGACCCAGACGGGGCGGACCGACTACAGCTGCTGGACGCGGTGATGCAGCTCCTGGACTACGAATACGCCACCGGAGAGGACCTCCGCGAGATGGAGTACCTCCCGGACGACGGCTCGGCGGCGGCGGCGGCGGAGACGGCGGCCGCCGACCTCGCGGCGGCCGCCGCCCCCGCCGCCGCCGCTGCCTTAGCCGCGGAGGCGGAAGCAGCCGCCTTGGCGGCTGCTGCGGGGACCGGGAGGGAAGCAGGGCTGGAGGAGGAGCACGGGGCGGCGGGGAGAGAGGACGGGGACGCTGATTCGCCCGCGGGTGTCGAGTCGGGGGGGGCGGGCAACGACGGGGGGGAAGCGTCTGATGATGCGATCGCCCGAGAGGTGATCGAGGAGTGCACCTCCTCCTCCGTCGCCTCTTCCTGTCCCGTGGGTGGGCGTGGGGAGGAGGTAGCAGCTCACGACGAGAGCACGCTGCTCGGGTACGCGCACGGCCTGGCCACGGAGGTGCTCCGCACGATGCGCAGGGACCTGAACTCCTTGGTGGGGATGCTGCCCGAACCGGTGGAGAGGCCGGTCCGGGAGGCGGCCGCGTTCGTAGGGAACACGGCCACGAGGTTCGTGGGGCCGGCGGTGCAGAAGGCGGAGCGGTACACGCGAGGGCTGCGGCGGGGGGCCGGGAAGACCGCGGGGAAGGCCGTGGTGGCGCTCAAGGACGAGGTGCTGCCGAGGGTCTGGACGGGGGTCAGCCGCGCGGCGTCGAACGCGAAGCGGCGGGTGGAAGACGCCATAGCAGCCCGGAAGGAGAGGAGCGAGCAGAGGCGCGAGCAGCAGGAGCAGGAGGAGGGTAGAGCACAACGCGATTGATGCTGGAGTATATCAGAGAATGTGGTGTGCGATTAGGGAGTGTGCCGGTGGGGGCGTACTATGTTTGGGCGCGAGGTCAGCGGGCTCGCATCAACGGCGTGTTGTTTTGTGGTCGGGTTCGGATTTTTGTTAGCGTCAGCGTTTGCGCTGGCGGAGATGGAGCGGTGTGGAGATTGGAGACTACCCACGCCAAAACTGCCCACCGCTGTGCCGACTCGCACTTGGTACGGCGGTACTTCCGATGAGGCTAAAGGAGCGATAGTTGGAGCGGCATGAGCGATTATCTTATTGTGACTCTTGGATGTGTGCTTGGCGTTTCTTGCAAGCGTTTGGTCTCGATGACTACGTTCCGGCGCACTTGGCGCGCGGGTCTGCGGCAATACCAAGCTCGAGGGACTGCTGTGGGTTCAAACCACGACCTGCCTTGTTGCTGTCATCTCGCCAGACGACGCGAGGGGCCGCCTGGGGGGTGCTGTGGGGCTTGGGTCGGGTTCTCTCCTCACTGGTCGTCAAACGATCGATCATACAGTAGTTGCGCCCAACCAGGAACGGTATCCAGAAGAAGTAGCACTGCTGTGGTTGTCCACTCATTTCCTTGGCAGCAGCAAAGGAGAGTGTGCCGCTGTGGGGTGTTTAGTGGCCTGCTGTTTTGCTCCTTCCTGTGGAACACATGTGAAAGACCCCGCGTTGCTTATCTTTGATTTATCAGCTTCATGAGCCTCGTCGGATGCCAATTGAATCCCCGCCGTTCCTGGCGAACGCAAACGACACGTGACGCTTGTTGTCCGTGCGATGTTCTTCATGCCCCTCGCGTCGGTAAGGGGGTTTTCGTGGTCCCCTTCTCTTGTCCGAGATCGAACGTTGTTCAAACACAAGCTCCGGAGGCGCAAAATGACGGCTTCTTAATTCCATTCGCTCAGGCATCACAGAGGATGTCAACTCGTGGAAATGGTTGTGGATTACGGGTGCGGATTTGACTCGGTTCTCCCGATCAAGTTCACACTGTTGTATTCCCTCAGAGACCTCTCTAAAACGAGACAATTTACTTGCCAAGCTCACAAGTACACTGACCCTACTAACTGAGCCGTATACACGTTGGACCGTGAACAGTCCCGTGGGCCACGAGTTCAAATAAATCGGGTTCCACGACAACATTGGAAAACTTGATTGTCAGTGATCGGAGACTTTCTCTCGAAGACGCCCACATGACTTCCAAAGGATGCGGATCGCCCCCCCCCCTACAGTGCTACTAGTAACTCATGTCGTCTAAGGCTCACAAGGGCTGCGTGGTCGAGCGTGTACTAAGTTGTGAACATTGAATTTGCACAACCATCATGACGCTGCCTGGGCTCGCTTTGCCGAACTCCGCGACCCGAAAAGCGGGAGAGGAAGGCCTGCCGAGGAAGCGGCTAAACAGGCCACGCCCCCCCCTTTAGAGTGAGGCACACCCCTCCCCCCTCCCGCTCGCTGAGCAAGCGAATCCCGGTGACGGTGTTCGCGAGCAAGCCGGCAAGAGCGCTCAGATCGCCCCCCTCCTTCAAAACAATCTGCAATACGGGCACAAGAGTTACAGTAGGACATACAAGAGGCGTATCAGGTAGGGCGGTAACGTACGTACTCTCTCCCTTGACAAGAAGAAATTGCGATAGTGCGGTCCTACTGCTCCCTCCCGTGGGCTCCCACTACGAAGATAGATAGCGGACCGTCTTCCCCAGCACGGCGTCGATCTCCATCGCCCTCCATGCACCACAGCAAGTCCCTGCTTCTCTCTTGAATCCTGCCTGATACATACACAATGCACTTCTACCACAGGACAAGTGTGAGGATGAAAGATGCTTCCACGGCTCGCCGCCGTTTGTTTCGGCTCGATCCAGGATTCACCAAACAACATGACATCGGTATATCTGGTACAAGAGAGGGCGGGAATCAATTCCTTTTGAAATACGCTCTTCGGGAATGTACCAGCGATGAACAACTTTTAGAGGCATTGCTGGTGTTGAAATGGAATAGGCTTCTCGATAAGGACGTTTTTACGGCCTATTGACAATTTATCAAGGGCACTGCGAATGAAAGAGGGTATAACTCGTTCGTTCTCTCCCCCCCATGCCCCTGATTCCTCACTCACTGCTACGGCGAACTCAACAGGGTTTGTGACTTTGTGCATCCCGGGGGGGGGGGGGGGGGGGGGGGGTTTCCCCGGAAAACATGGGTCCCCTTTTTTCTAAAAAAAAAAAAAAAAAACAAGGGTGTCCCCCCCCTTTTTCCCAACTTTGAAAGTTTTGAAAATTTCCCCCGGGCCCCCCCCCCCCCCGGGGGGGTTGCCCCCCAAAACCGGGGGGACCCCTTTTGGGCGCCA